GCATATAGGGAAGGATATATAAAAGCATGGCAATACGGTCTGCTAACAGCTACTAACTTATTCTGCATCAGATAACCAGTAGAGGGAACCCTAATATTTAAACATAATCTATAAAGGAAAAATTATTACTAAAGCATTGTTAGTGTTGATTAATTCCAATATAAAACTGATGCAAATATAAAAGAGTAATTTAAAGCAACAGTGTTAAGAGTGCTTCCTACATTATTTACTGCTCAAAATCTAGTCAAAATTGGCTGGCAGAAGCATTTTCAAGATTTCCCTACCTTTACGTGTCCACATTTAAGGAGCTGAGATCTTCTCCGATCAGCTAATGCAAAAGAACCAATGGCCGGGTCTTCCAAGCGGTCAGCATTGCGAGCTTGTAGCAAAAAGCCTTCAAACGTAGGCCCAGAAAAACTAACTAAAATCAAGAATTTGAGAAAAGGAATGGAGATGAAATCTCAGTTTATTCTGGCAACAGGAGCAGGCCTCAAATCCTGCATTTCGTAAACTTGTCAACTGCCAGGTAGGTATGTGTGGACTTCAACTCACAGAATTCTCTTCAATGGCTATGCTAGCTATGGGAATTATAGTACAACTAGAATATATTTAAAATACAATGTAAAACCTGGAACAATGTTACCTTGTCATTTTATGTTTACCACATGATTTGAATGATATATAGTCACCCTTTTATTTATTTATTTATTTATTAAAAAACCAGACACTATAATCTGAAACAAACTTCAGTTACAGAACCTGAATTAAGATAGACAAGATGGCATCTGCCTAGAATGGTAGCATGGTAATTCAGAAAACACTCTTTGAAAAATTTATGTGCCAAGAAAGTAAAAGTGGCATAGTTATCCTAGGCTTCCTCTGGAAACAATCCATCTTTTAAGAGTGGAAAAAACAGTAGAACCTATTATGAATGTTGTTTATAGTTTATACTCTTGCATTAGGAACTCAAACTGGGCCCAACAAGTCATTCCAACTCACTAGGGAAAGCTAACCTATAACCAGCATTTCAACTACATCTCTGAAGGAGACAGCAGTGAAGAAAAAAAAATATTTGTCAAATTTGAATGGCTGCCCATCCTACAAATAAAATAAAATAAATAAAATAAATAAAATAAATAAAATAAATAAAATAAATAAAATAAATAAAATATAAAATATAAAATATAAAATATAAAATATAAAATATAAAATATAAAATATAAAATATAAAATATAAAATATAAAATATAAAATATAAAATATAAAATAAATATAAAATATAAAATATAAAATATAAAATATAAAATATAAAATATAAAATATAAAATATAAAATATAAAATATAAAATATAAAAAATAAAAATAAAATAAAATAAAATAAAATAAAATAAAATAAAATAAATAAAATAAATAAAATAAAAATCTATGTGCAGCATTCAGCATAATTAAAAAAGTAAATATATAAATGTTTATATTAAAAAAGTATACTTAGTCCACAAGACTTACGACCAAAATTGAGCCCAAAATTTCTGTTGCTAAGGGAAACATTTATTAAATGAATTTTGACCCATTTTACAAGTTTGCTTGCCAGAGTTATTAAATGAATCACTGCAGTTGTTAAGTTAGTAACTTGGCTGTTAAGTGAAGCCAGCTTCCCCATTGACTTTGTCAGAAGGTCACAAAAGGGGATCACATGACCCAGAGACACAGCCAATCATCATAAACACGAGTCACTTGGCAAGCATCTGAATTTTGATCACCTGACCATGGGGATACTGCAATGGTCGTAAGTGTGAAAAACGGTTATAAGTCACTTTTCAATGCCACTATAACTTTGAACGTCACTAAATTAAACATAGGTAGAGGACTACGAACATATAACAAGCACAAAAACATGAGAAGATGATGTTAGCACCATAAGAGACGCCATGGCAAAAAATCATACCTTTCACACAATCTCCTGGCTTAAATTCTGTCACATTCACCTCAATGGTGTGCTTGGGAAATTTCTGAGGCGATTCCCCATGAAAAGGCAACATGGAGTCGCAGGATTCGTATACTTTTCCATTTGGGTAACCAGCTGATTGATCAGAAAGGCAGGCGAGCAGCCAAGCAATAAAAGTTATTCTGGAAGACTTCATCTACCAAAACAAATTAACAGTGAACATCAGAGAGCTGCTGACATTCATTCCTTTACATTTTCCGAAAGCAGGCTTGCAGTAACCTTGGTCTTTCAAAGTTTAATCCCAATCTCTTTCCCGAATCAGAACAATTGTTTTCATTCATCTCCAGAATTAAAAGGCCATGGGTTATTCTGAACTTGGACCAACATGTATGTTTTATCTGAATACAAACTACTAAAACCTACTGGGCTACATATAGAAGACCTTGCAGATGAACAAGTTTTGCATGCCCCTACTAGTGTACAACCCTGATCATTCTCTGTAGTCTCTCATTAACCAGCACCACCATGGTAAGGCCCAGATAAAATGAGACAATATAAGTCACCTGCTCAAAGACAAAGAATAAGAGATGATTTCTCAGATAATAACTTCTGCTAGGAACAGACCTTTACTACAATATAGTAACATATACAGGTAGTCCTTCACTTATGACTGTGATTAAGCCCACAATTTTAGTTCTATGTTGCGATGATCATAAAACAGGTCATCATGTGACTGCACATGATTTTAGGACATTTTTTTGAGGTGGTTGTTAAGCAAATGCAGCAGTTGTTAAATGAACACAGTGGTTGTTAAGCGAGTCCATTATTTGTCACAGAGCTTTTTTTCCGGAAACTGGAAGTAAATGCCAGTTTCCGGAAAGAAGTTTTAAATTGCAATCACATGACTGTAGGACGCTGCAAACCGCCATAAATGTGGATCACTTACCAAGAGCCCAAAATGCAGTCATATGACCACAAAGTGACCCTGGACATTGGAACTTCAAATCCAGGTCATAAGAGCTTTTTCAGGGTCCACCATAACTTTGAATGGTCACTAAGCAACCAGTTGTAAATCAAGGGCCACCTGTTATTCTTTTCTTCTGGCCAAGGAAGACTTTATTATTCTGCTTTTCATAAGGAAGAGAGACATTATCCTCACTAGAATCCTGACAGATAAACTGGGCCAGGGGTAGGCAACCTTGGCTCTTTTATGACTCGTGGACTTCAACTCCCAGAATTCCTGAGCTAGCTATGCTGGCTCAGGAATTCTGGGAGTTGAAGTCCACGAGTCATAAAAGAGCCAAGGTTGCCTACCCCTGAACTGGGCCAAGAGACAGTCACCGGACTAAGATTCCCTAGAGCGCTTCATGTTTAATTGGTTTTTTGTAGTAAATTCTTTCCAGTTGGTTTTATATTGATTCCTTAATTCAATGTGCCCACTTTCTTCCTTCACTCCCCCATGTTGCAAGATATTTATTTATTCATTTCTTTGCTTTCATTTTGTTAAATTTAAACAACCTGATCACTCTGGATGGTTTACACTTTAAAGAAATATAAAATAGAGAAAAAGAATCATGCACATTCAGAAAAAAAATGTAAAGCATACCGAAGAGACAACTTACAGGGGCTTTAAACCCACCCTGCCCCAAGGTCTGGGATTACACCACGTTTTCAAGGGCTTTTGGAATATCATCAGGATGGAAACAGATGGGTCTCTGGGGTGATGTAACAAAGAAGACATTCTTCTTTGATCCCCATGGATGACAGTTTAATCAAAGAGACTTGGAAAGTACATACTCTGCCTGATCTTTCTGGATTAATAGCCCACAAGCCACTACTTATCCCCACTTTAAAATTTGAGACTAGACACATTGTGATTTCATTCTCTTTGGGTCCTCATAATCATTTCTTTCAATGTTGTAATTATCACCAGTGAGCAATATTAAAATCCTATGTTCTTTCAACCTCAGTTTAGAATACTCTACCCCAATCTAATATCCTTAACTATCATCCAAGACAGAATAACCTACTGTCTGAGGTCTATTAGATTTGGAGTTAAATGCAAACTGCAGTTTAAACATATATTTCCAGTCATGTTTTAATATAAAGACAAACCATCATTATTCCAACTAGTGGGAAATGCTTACACACCTGAAGCATACATTTAGAATGTAATAACCATTGTTGTTTGATATTTTTTAAATGTAGATATTTTTCAAGAAATAAAGATTTAATGAAGAATGACACTTGAGTTTTGGCATTAATTTAGTTGACATTCTGTTTTAAAATGGAATAGACTATTTTACTTCCTACTTTACCTCTTTCACTGCAGATTACATTTAATTTTTTAAATACCTTTTCTCCCCATTTTTACCATAAATTAAACAAATATTACCTAAAGCAGTTACCAACAAGACCTGGTAATGGCTAAGAGCACAAAAGTTGAAGAAAGAGTCAGAGCAGTCAATTCGGGCTGCACAAGACTAAGCTTTAAGAACAAATGCACACAAGGCCACAATTGAGATGACAGCAACAGGCAACAAATACCACCTCTATGAAGAAGCTGAAGAAACAGTAGATCACCAGGTTAACTGCTGCAAGAAGAACACACAGACTGACTACAAACAACAGCACGACAAAGTAAAAACAATGGTGCATTGGAATATCTGCAGTGAAATACCACTTCCTCCAAGCAATAATTGGTGGGACCACAAAACAGACAAAATAATAGAAAATGAAGAAGCTAAAGTGCTCTGGGACTTTAGAATTCTGACAGGCAAGCACCTGCCACAACATATCCCAGACTTAACAATTATTGATAAGAAAGATAAAAACTCTAAATATTGGATGTGGCAGTACCTGGGGACAGCAGAAGAGAAGAGAAAGAACTGGAGAAAATTAGAAACTACAAAGACCTGCAAATAGACATAAAACAATTGTGGCAAAAGAAAGCAAAGGTAGTACTCGTAGTAATAAGTGCCTTAGGTGCAATCAAGAAACATCTGAAGCACCACTTGAACATCATCTGTATTGACAAAATCATCCATCAATCAATTGCAAAAGGCAACTTTACTTGGACTAGCATACATCCTGCAACAATACCTTTAAAACAACAATATCTGCCTATCCCAGGTCCTTTCTACATTTCATTTGCATACCTTCCATTGTACTTTTGTTATGTTTTAATTTTATATGATACTCACAAAGCTTACTTAAAAGGGATACAGTAGTGGCCAAAATTGTGGAAACCTTTTAGGAAAAGTGTACAGTAGAAATGCCACCTTTGGTTAAGTTTCCACCAATTTTTCTTCTAATTTCTTTATAACTGTAGCCTTGTTCACTTTATAATACTATTTTACATCGCTTTCTGGGCAACCAGTCAACTCTTTGCACCATTACTTTAATTTTATTACGTTTTACAAGCTCACTAAATGAAAGAACACAAAAAAACCCAACCAACTTGATCACATAACACACTGACAAATGTCCTCCTCTCAGCTTCAATACATGACATCAATAACTGAATCCTACTGTGATCTGATTGGCTCATTGCCAAAACAAGATGACACCTGATTGGCTCTCTAAACACTCATGCTCATTGGCTACAATCAGATGAAGAAAAGCTACCTGATATCAACCTGAGCAAGTTGTGCTTCCATTTTCTGGTTATTTGGCTATACCTTTCATAGAATACAGTACAGATAATTGAACAAACTATGTTGCATTACATTCTTGATTAAATTATCTTTCCATTGATATATAATTTTATTGTACTACTCCAAAAAAAGTGGTGTAATTAGCCATCAAATCTCAAAAATACTTTTCCCAAAAGGTTTCCACAATTTTGGCCACTACTGTATAATTAGTATAGATGCATGTATATATGTATTTATTAGATTTTTATCCCACCTTTATTACTTTATAAGAAACTCAAGTCTGCCAACATATATAATACTCCTTCCTCCACCTATTATGATAAGATTATTTATTTATATTTCACATTTCTAGACCATCCATCTCTCTTGAGATGCCGGTAACATTCATTCTTTGAATTCAAATGCAAATAATCAAAGTTCATTTCACGTTTGAGCTCTTTACAAATATAAAAATCCTTGAAGAGATGAATGAACTTCCAAATTTTTCCTCAGAAAAAGGAGTCAGCACTGTGAGTCACTGATTTGTGATCAAACATCAGTGTGGAAGAACTGAGTTACTTGAAAGAAGTGCTAGGAA